AATAATTTTTTTAAAAAATCACTTCTATAGCTCCTACTTTCTGGTGGTTCTCGACAATTTATTTAAAAAATGAGATTTAAATCAACGTCTTAATCTTATGAATACTGGCCAATTCAACGGACAACAATTCTTTCAAATAAGCTTACATACACTCGTCATCTGGCAAAGAGCATACACAAAAAGACAATCACTATGCGGCTACTGATCACGTTTGTTGTTGGAAGAAGAATTAAACTAGAGTACAATAAGGTTTAAATGTCGATAAAGTATGCGCTTCTAATTTTCTGAAACACAATTAGTTGATGTAAGTGCTAAATATAAGTTAGTTTTAGTAAGAGTTTTACGACACCTGCAACACAATAAGATCATATAGCTTAAGTGCCGAAGATCAGAAGGGTTACGTGAGAGCAAAAAACATAAAAAAGGAGGGGAGAGAGAGAATAGAGACTTTTTTAAAGAAAGAAGGAGCAAACCACACCATAGAGCACCCGCCAACCACCCACGCTGAAGATTAGGTGAGTTACTGGAGAGTCATATACAAAGAAAAGGAGGAGAGATAACGACTATAGTGATTTGAGATATTTGATAGGAAAGAAGGAGCAAACCACTGGAGCAGCCTCTAGCCACTCACACCGATAAGGTCGGGCCAAATGGAGAAAGCGCCTTGAAAACTCCCCACATAAATCATAAACCGACATTCCAGAAGAATGTATTGCTGGGAAATTCAAACCAAAGTCATCTGAGCGACAGTCTAGCATACTTACAACTAAATCTAAGGTAATACTAAGGGCGCGCCCTTCAATAATTCTAGAAATATTAGATCTATCCGAGAGCAAACAGTTCACTACCGGGTACATGTACTTCGATGAAAAGAGATCGGTGGTGAGGCTCGTCTTTCATAAATACACACAGATACACACATACACACACACGCACTCACGCACGCGCGCGCGCGCGCACACACACACACACACACACAAACACACACACACGTACATACACACACAAACACACATTATATATATCTATATTATATGATAACTGTCACAAGCCATAAAGTTGACTAGAAGTGACAAGAGAAAAATAAAAGCCAAATTTATGCAAAATATACAGTCAAACCTGTTCTAACAATCACCAGTTCAAGACAGTCCAAACGACCACTTCCCACTCACCCCTTGCGTTCTTTATGTCATCATATAACGACAATGTCCAATAGTTAGTTTGAGTAAGAGTTTAACGGCACTTATTTGCAACACAATAAGGTCATATAAGTGCCGAAGATTAGAGGCGTTACAAGTGAGTAACAAACACAAAAAAGAAGGAGGGGAGATAAAGACGATAGATGTTTGATAGGAAAGAATGAGCAAACCACACTTGAGCACCCGCCAACCACCCACACTGTCCGACAGAACCACCTGTCTAAGACGACCACTTTTCTCCTCGACAAAGGATGATCGTATTGGACAAGTGCCAATCGAATATTATACAATATATATTTTTAAACGGTAAATGAAGCGCATACGTAACTTATTAACGTCATTCCTTAACATTAACAAACATACAGACCCTCGTCAAGACCATAACAAAGCGGATGTTTTTTTTTTTTTAAATTGTTCGAGAGCAATTGAAGCAAATCTACACATGCACAACGGAGCAGGACTGATTGAAAGGTCCGGAAAACGCAAGAT